CAGTCTTGACCAGTGCGGTGTAGAGCACAGGACCACACAGAACGCAGTAATCAAGTTAAAAAAAAAAAAACGAATGCAAAGACCTTTTTATGTGCGGTAATAAAATATATGCCGTAGCTACTACAGATAGCTATTACAGAAAAATCTGCAGTGATCAGCGAACATCACCCCGCAAAGTACTCATCATTTTACCCAAAGCGTCGAGAAAAGTCCCATATACAGTCATATATATCTGTTTGTATGTTTTTAAAATACAATTTGCAGAAAATCGTCCACTACAACCACCAACGCAGCGACGTTTAATAGCAAGCAGACAGGCAACCATACAGCCCTTATTTTACAAACAATAGCATTGACTTTTGTCAAACAACCTAAGTAGCTCTTTAAATTTTGCACTAGATCGAAATTTCGTAGAGCACATCACGTTCTGCTGACAAAGCTCGTCCATTGATAGCTTCTCTGTGGTATTTCGAAATAACAAACATGTCAGCCGATTCGGATATGGAATATTCGGACAACGATTGCGAATATGAAGATTACTACAATTCAGGTGGGTTAAATTTAATTAATATGACAACTTACGTTTACGTATTTATTCAAGTATTAAATTACTTTCACTAAAAACAGTAATAACTTTTAAAAATGTTTACAACCCAATAAATGTTTCTTTGCACTCATGTTGTTGTTGTTGTTGCAGCGGCTACAACGACCCCGCCCACATCGGTTAATACCGCTCAGGGCCTGTCGATAAGCTGACTGGTCCAGAGGTTGCTTTATAAACCGTCAGTTCGTAAAGACGGAGGGCTCCTCTCAAGCAAGTTTCTGTTCGTGTGTCCACGTCTGTGGCTCCCTACTATGAATTGGTTGCAGAGCATTGTCTTGTGCTCCTTTATGGGGAGCATTTTCGCCTCATCGTGCAGGTGATGGTCTGGCGACATCAGAATACATCCAGTTGCTGTCCGAAGTGCAGTGTTTTGAGTCGTCTGCAGCTTCATCCTACTAGTCCCTGGCGACCACACTGGTGATGCGTAATTTAAAACCGGCCGGCCTATTGCCTTGTATGTTGCCAGCAACGTTTATTTGCACTCATAAATTACCCTGGTAGTCTGTCACTCTAAAAAAACTGAAAAATCAAAAAAATAAATGTTACTAGCGCCAAAATGCGTAAATATACACAATACCTATCTCAAAAAGCAATACCCGAAAGATTGTGGAATTTCGTACGTTTTAAGCATGCACTTTAACGGTCAATGTTCGAAATCTCTACCAGATACTGTGGAACTTTTTGCAAAATTTTTTCAGTTCGAGTTTCGCCTGTGAGATGAATGTCTCGACATCTGCTATCATTAACGCCATGTCTACCCTAACTCCGACATTGAAATGTGATTCTGATGGTACTACTACTTCGTCAAACGTTGTAGTTAGTTTGTCATCATGTGTTCCTTTATGTCATATATTCAACCTATCACTTGCTAGAATTATTTATTAACATGGATTAATTTTATACTCTCTTTTCTTGCCAAAAGAATAATTGAGCCCCACCAACATGGTTTTGTCGCTGGTCGGTCAACTCTCACTAATTTAGCTTCGTTTTCAGAATTTTGTGTTTCTTCCTTCAAAAAAGGTTTTCAGGTAGACACCACAATTTTTAAACCCTTTTCGTATTCTCCATACTCTTGTAACCGGTAAATTTTATTACCATCTCAAGAACAGGTAACAAAATATTGCCCCGTGAAATATGCAACAACAGATTCAACAAGCATGCATAGCTGAATTGCTGAATAAATTAAAACGTTACCAAGCTAAATAGAATTGCGGTTGCAAGAAGTGGTGACAATTGTTGGTAACAAAATTTGCTTGTTACAACGGTTATACGGACTTTTCTAAAGTCTTTGATAAGCTGTCACACTTAATGCATATTGCTACACAAGTTGGAGTGCATTGGTTTTCACCCTAAATACCTAAGATGGTTAAAGTCTTATCTTACAAATAAATATCTATCCCTTTGTTCTAAGATTAGGTGTCCCCAGGGTAGCATCCTTGGTCACTTATTGTTTGTCTTGTTTATAAATGATATTAGCTCATGTTACAAATACTCCAGTTTTTTTTATTGTATGCTTATGACTTAAAACTCTTTCGTAGAATAGCCTTTTCATCTGATGTTCTCTTCCTTCAGCAAAGATTTAGGTCTGTTGAGCGTGCTGCCGTGACTCGAATTTTTCGTTTGTAAATCATAATTGTCATGTACTTCTAAAAGTTTAAAGTGATTTAGCATTTATTCGAAGATATGCCAAGGATTTTAGAGACCCTTATACTCGGAAAGCATTATAGAATTCCTTTGTGCGATCTAAACTTGAGTATGCCTCTGTTATATAGAGCCCTATTTATAATTGTCACGCTTAAAGGTTTGAACGAGTTCAAAAAGTGTCAATTCGATTTGCCCTCGCTTGTCTTAATTTCTCAAATCCAATTCCTTCATATTACTCCCGGTGTAAACTAATAAATTTGCTATCGTTGGAAAAGAAGGCGTACCCATTTATTATTATTTGTCTTCGATCTTATCTCTGGCTCCCTTGACTGCCCATCTCTTCTTGAACAGGTTACTTTTAATGTGCCTACAGACATGGGCGTACGCAGAGCACAATTTAGATTTTTTTTTATGTAAATTTTATAAGAAATGTTAAAATACGCAGGCATGTTCTGCAAATCTTACGATTTCAAATCGGTGCGATTTACAAAATCTATGTATTTCGGAGGATTTATAGCAAAGAGGGAAACATTTGGAACTAAATCGATGGATGTAATGTAAGTGTCGTGATTCTAGCAGTTTCCATTTGAAACATTTAATACTTTGATTACAAATATACAACAAAACTTTGCAAATCGCAACGATATGAAATCGTACGATTTGCAGAACATACCTGATAGCTATTAAAACTTTATAATAATTTACCTCATTAATTTTTCTCTTTTTAACCGATTTCAAAAGTAGGAAGAGGTTATCAATTCATCGGATTTTTTTTTATGTATGTTACCGCATAACTTTGGACCTCATTAACCGATTTCGATAATTCTTTTTCTGGTTCCTCAGGGGAGGTCCCATACTAATGTGGTTTAGATCCGATCATTGGATCATGAACAAATTAATGGTACTTCTAATTTTTTACAGTAAAATAGATGTCGGTTGTGTTTTTTGCTTAAAAATTACTTGTTATTGTAACAATGGAGTTGTACCGATCCCTACAAAGGAATTTATATTGCATGAGGTTTATTATGATCTTATTGAAGAGTTAAAATACAAATTTTTTAGTTACCTTAATTGCATGCAAATTTTAAAATGCGACTTCGTCTTTACACCAAAATCGTATTTTTTCATTATTTTTAACCGACTTCAAAAAAGGAGGAGGTTATCTATTCGTCGGAATATTTTTTTATGTACATATGTTACCACATAACCGATTTCGTTTGGATCCGATTACTGGATCTTGAAGAAATTAACGGTAATCTTAAAGTTTTACATGAGAATTGAAGTCGGTTTTGTTTTAAAAAATTACTTGTTTACTTAAACAATAGAAATTCATACATAACCGCTGAACGGAGCGGACGTGTGTCGCTTCAATTTATTATTTAGTTTTAATTCGAATACTTAGTTAATATTAATATAATATGTATAATTATGTATTTATTCATCTGTAAATACCACGGATAAATTGTCTGCCACTTCATCGTCACTCAAACGTCGACTGAGCAAAGATTTCCCCGCTGCTAATGCAGTTAAGCTTGACGAAGGTAGATGGATAGATAGATAATATGATGAGGTATGCACTGCGACCTAATGATCTATTGTGCCCTCCGCTCTACACAAAACTTCCTCCAAGCCAAGATCGCTCAGGATGTTCCAAAGTTTCTTCGGGGATAAAGAGGGAATGTGCTTTAACTGTGGCCACATTGAGCCTAAACTCCTCTGTTGTTGTTGTAGCGGCTACAACAACCCCGCCCAGATCGGTTAATAACTCAGTCGTTGTCGTCAAGCTCCACTAACGGAAGCCCCAGGAAGCGTGCAGCACCAACGGGGTCTGTCCACAGAGACAAAGGCGATAGCTGTGTCGGTTTTTTTGGGGCATACAAAGATATGTTTCGAGTCGTGGGGTGTCTCTCCGCATGCCGGACACTTATTTGGCACATCTGCGTCTAATCTGCTCAGGTATGAGTTTAACCTGCTGCAGTAGTCAGAGCGAAGTTGAGCAATTGTAGTTCTAGTCTCCCGAGGCCGATGAAGCTCCGTCTCGTCGATGCCCGGTGGTTGTGTGCCTAAAACGGCATTCACAGGTCTGGAGTCTACATAACTCGAGATTGTCTCCCTGTGAATGCCGTTCAGGCCCTGTGGATATGCTGACTGGTCCAGAGGCTGCTTATTGAACCTCTTAAAACCGCCCGGCCTATTGCCTTGTATGTTGCCAGCAACATTTCTTTGCGTGCGCAGAGAAGGAGAGCAGACTGTCGAAGTTCACTCCGAGTATTTTGGAGTTTTTCGCCGTCGGAATTGGTGTGTCAGTAGATATTGGTCTACCACAAGGGTCGGTGTTATCTCCAATACCCTTTAATATTTATATCAACGACATAAACTCTTGAAGTATTGTAAGGTTGTTGTTGTTGTTGTAGCGGCTACTAAGCCCCGTTCGGGGCGGTTCATTCATCAACGTTGTCGTCAATTTCAGCTCGGGGGAGGCCCAGGAAGTGTGCGACTTCCACAGGGGCTGTCCATAGGGACAGGGTCGTTAGCTGAGTAGGGTTCTCAGGGCATGTGAAGAGGTGCCGGGAGTCATGTGGCGACTCTGCACATGCCGGGCATTGGTCGGGCACATCCTCGTTGATTCTACTCAAGTAAGAGTTGAGCCTGCTGCAATAGCCAGAGTTTGTTTGATAAACCTCTGGACTTCGTCCGTCAGTTCGTAAAGATGCCTTCTGACGTGCCGTGGCGAGGGCTCTTCCGCGAGCATCTGTCCGCTGGGATGGCCACGTCTGTGGCTCCCAGCAAGGAACTGCTTGCAGAGCATTATGTTATGCTCCTTTACTGGGAGCATCTGGGCCTCGTCATGTAGGTGTTGTTGGGGCGTCATCAGGAGGCATCCTGTCGCTGTTCGTAATGCCGTGTTTTGGCAGGTCTGTAGCTTCATCCACTGCGTCCTGCTAGTCCCCGGCGACCATACGGGCGCTGCATAGTTTAGAACCGGCCGGCCAATTGCCTTGTCTGTTGCCAACAACGTTTCTTTATCTTTGCCCCAAGTGCTGCCGGCCAGCGACTTGAGGACATTGTTGCGGCTCTGTACTTTGTTGACAATTGCGGTTGTATGCGCCGAGAAGGAGAGCAGACTGTCGAAGGTAACTTACGCCATTGACGTGAATACCCAGTTGCAGTCTGACCTCCTTCGTCCAGGTGGTGAAAAGGTTGCCGAGAATTTCGCAGGGGATAGGGCAAGGCTCCTTGCAGTGAAGAAGCGAGAAAGCTCGGAGAGATACCCGTTTACTTTCGAACACAAGTCATCAATT